AAGGATGGGCTGCGACAGCGGCGAGCCGAAAGGCACCGCAAGGAGCTGGTGACAGAGCTTGAACTCTAACAACCATGTTTGATAATCTCAGAAACACAAGGGATGTTCACAATGGAGCCTGCCCTTTCCAACCCTTCTGAGACCTTAAAGCCAAAGGAAACTGCTCCATTTTGTACCCCTTTAGAGTTATTATTGTGCTGAGCTTAGCTTGTCATGAGAGAAGGAGAAAGGTGCCAGCTTTAACTCAGAGCCACCAAGACGTAAAGAAACTCCCCCCTGTCCTATCCAGGGTGCTCCAGTGGTTAAATCTCATTTCTAATTTGAACTCATCTGTATTTTGCATCCAGAGGCTGGTCCTCACTAAGCCCTTCTCTGCCACATTACAGAGCTACCTGCTCCTGTGCTATGCTGTTCAAGCAGCACCATCAGATCTCTTTGCTAAGCTGAAGGCAAAGGCCCTTTCAGCTCTTAGCTCCAGGATGACACCAGAGCAGTTACTGGGAATGCTCCTCCGGCCATGAGAGCTTGAGATGATGGAGCCTTGGCAATTTCTGCAATGAATTTCTTTACCTAGACACCCCCCCCCAGCCCCACATTGACGCAGACACCCCCCCCAACCCCACATTAATGCAGATACCCCCCCCCAGCCCCACATTAATGCAGACACCCCCCCCCCCCAGCCCCACATTAACGCAGACACCCCCCCCAGCCCCACAATAAACCCACCACATAAACCCAGGTTTTCAAACCACCACTGCCACCAAGGGCATTGCAGCGCAGAGATGGTTTTCTTACAGCAGAATTATCTACAAAAACCCCTTAAAATTACTTTTCCCAACCCATTTTCAGACAAGCAACGAGGCCAGTTTGGTTTCACCCCATGAAACCCAGCCCCAGCAGCCAGTGCCATCCCCGTGTCATTCATCGCCTCTGACCTCCTATGCAATGCCACAATTAGATGTGTGTCAGCCCAAGCTGGCTGTCTCTCCTGCCTCCCCCAGACACATCTGCAAGGCAGCAACAGGGTCCCTATGGAAGCTGTGGCTCCCATACAAGGACACTGCTCCACAGCCAGGGAAGGACAAGGAAGGCTTGACACTAAGTAGATTTACTTGGCTGAGCATCATTGAATGCAATGCAAGAAGGAAGGCAAAATACACTCAGGTCACCTAAAACAGCAAAGTATCACCCCATGTTGCTTGCTTCCAGAGGGCATTTGAGCATCAGTGTCATGCTTGCCCTCAGACAAGTAGGGAAGGAACTGCAGCTGGTGGTAAGTTAAATGGCTTCTCCCACTCACTTGAGAGGGAAAAGTGGCTTGGATGGAGAAGTTCCTCCATCAGATCTGCAGGGTTTGCTTCTTGGGTTGTACTGCTCCCTCTGAGCAAGCCTGTACTATGGGTATAGGCAGGTACAGCTCCGCAGCATGGCAGAGCCATCAGCTCACAGCCAGCGCCACGCTCCATGCAGGAGACCCAGGGAAGCTCAGGTCACCCCTCACACCACTGCAGATCTGGCCTCTTAGCATTTCAGAACAGAAAGGTGATTGCATGTGGCAGGTAAAATAGGTTATAGACAAGCAGGCAGGCAAGGCTGCCTGGAAATAGCCCTCATATTTTCCCCATGACACCTGTCTGCAAGAGTTAAAACGATTCTTTCTTACAGCTTCTCCAGAATATAAAATGCTTAAATCCTTCTAAAACACTGAGCTACCAAAGCCTGGTTGGATAGTATTTAACCCACAGTGGAAGCAGTGCACTGGGTTTTAAGGGCTGGAAATACCCTGCACTCACTGAGCTCCTCCTGCTATAGAAGGGGCTTGAGGCCAGATTCGGATCCCAGCTGTGCTGAGTGCACCAGAATTCCCCCTTCCTTCTGGGTGAGGGATCAGCATCCGGATGGATGTGCAGTTTGTCCTGGTTTCAGACACTACACAAGCAGTAACTGATGTAGAGAGCCCAAATGCTGGCAGGGTAACAGAGCCAGCATTTTACTGCCTCTCACCCCAGTGCCTGCTACCACAGCCCAGCACTTTTGGGGTGCTCTCCAGATGCAGCTGAGTTCAGAGGGTCTCTGATCTGGAGAAGGGTCTTCAGCCCCCCCCAAGGTGGAGCAGCTCTGGCAATTCCCCCCCCCCCCCAATACCCAGACATAAGGGTGATGCTGCAGGTGAGGCAGATTCCCAAAGGCAACACGAGCCCAAACCTTTGGAAGAGCCCATTCCCAGCATAAACCACAGAAGATGAAGTGCCAGTTCCCATTAGTCTTTATTTATCATCTTCTTTAGGGGAGGCAGTTTAACTTCCACCTTCCCATGCTGAGCACAGCACACCATCTGCAGGAACTTCCCTGATCCCACCCAAACCCCAAACTTCCCAGCCTCTGGCCAAAGACTGAAGCACAGGCAGAGCATGAGCACACAGACCACCACAGCAGCGCTGAGACCATCACTCTGCCCACTGTGGCCTGCATAGGATCCCAGCCTGGTTTGGGTTGGAAGGGACCTTAAAGCTCCTTAAAGCCACAGGCAGGGACCCCTTCCACTGGAGCAGCTTGCTCCAAGCCCCTGTGTCCAACCTGGCCTTAAACATGGACGGGGAAGCACAAAACTGCTGTGTTCTGATGAGGGATCAGGGGCGGATCTATAGAGGAGGGCGCCAAAAGGGACAAAGGGGAGGAGCCGGATAACTGACAGGAGCAGCTGGATCTGCTTGGAGGGAAAAGTTCCCGCCGTGTTCCCGCCGTTCAGTTTCCCGCCCTGAAGACCATCACCTGTGTTTGTTTGGGTTCTTTTGCCTTTGTTTGGGTTCTTTTGCCTTTGTTTGGGCGCCTTCGGCTTGGTTTAGGCGGGCTCCTGCCTCTGAGAGCCCCCGCGCTGCCCTCCCTCAGCTGGGGAAGGGGAAACCCAAGCCTCCAAGGGCAGCAGAAGGTCACAGCACAAAGCCTGCCCCAGGTCCCGTGTGTTAGAACCGGGCAGGGGGCTCATTCTGCCGCCTTTATTCCCCCCCTCTCCCCCAGCCTGCTCTGGTTAATAAATGCACTGATGGCTTGGTAAAACTCAGCCAATCTTTGCTTTGGGTGGAGGAGCTCAGGTCCACAGCAAAGAGCCAGGCTGGGATTGATGGTGAGGGGTTGAGCTGTGCCCCAAGCCCCTCACAGCACGAGTATTATCACCCACATTTATACTCATAAATTCTGCTTCGATTGTGAGCAAATAAAACCATATCTCAAGAAGGGAAAGCTTCAAACTGGCCCCTCCGCAAGCCCCATGCCAGGAATATTCCTCACAGAGGAATCCCAATGGCATGTTCCCCAGCCTGGGCTGCCTTTCTGCCTCATGCATGTGAGACAAGCACTAAACACGGCACAGCCAGCCCAGGGCTGCTCAGCACCGGCTCACACCCAGCTGGGCACGGCAGCAGCTCGAAGCAACTCACAATGAGAAGCATGAAGAGCCCTGTGAGGGGATTGATGGCTGTTTGGGGGTGAAAGGAGGAGCTGGGGGTCAACCCCTTCCTCAGCACCCTCTCTTCACATAGGGACCTTGTTTTCTTCCCTAGCTCGAGCAGAACCCAGTGCAAGAAAACCCCTTCTGCTTCAGAGAGTGTTTCTGATAGCCAGAACCACCTTTCCCTTTGGAAATGGGGTTAAACCTGGGATCCTGCAGCATTTTCAGTGCTGCTCCCATCACCACAAGAGCAGAGCCATCTTTCAATGGCCATTAGTATAAACCAGCAGCCGAGTCATTCACCTCAGAGCAGGGGAGGTTTTCATCAGCCCCATTCAGCAGGAGCCTTAAGAACCGGCCAGGGCAGCCTTAAAATCAGCAGAACAAAAGCCCCCATATAGCTCCTTTCTTGCTAAAACTATTCATAAACATCGCACATTGCGTCAATCTCTGAAGGTCAAAGTCATCTTTTTTCCCTCATGGAAGCTCTTGGGGAGACTTTTGAGCCTAAATGTGCTGCTTTAAGGAGCGCAGTTTTACCTCTGCTCAGGTAAAACACGTTGGTGTGCGTTTGCTTCCTGCCCTGGTTGTATTAAAGCTGTTTGGCTGATGATGCCGAGCCCAAAGAAATGAAAGAAGCTGGGAAATAAAACACAGGAGCTCCTGAAAGGATTTGTCTTGATAATGAAATACCCCCCCACCACCAGGCATATGAAGCAGCTTCAGTACCTCTTTACCGAGCTTTCCCTGCACCCTCTTTGCTAATACAAAAAGGCACTTTGTTAACATAAAAAAAAACTTTCTTTTGCTAGAAAAGCCATTTGCTTCCAGCTATAACAGGCAAAGGAAACACAACGATGCCTGCACGCTGCCGGAGGGCCACAAAGGCTGCCCAGCACAGCCACCCCTCTCCATACAAGCACCCCACAGCCGGGGTATGGAAACCTCGCTGTCAAACTCAATTAAACCAGACAAAGAGGCTCTTATCTCTGCTGGCAATGAGAAGGCAGCGGGCAAAGCGAAGTATGAGAGGATTGCCAAGGAGTTTGCCCGTGAAAATCATTATGTCGCAGAGCCTAAAACGAGCTGGGCCACCAAGCTCTGGGGATTGCACAGCCCTTGAGGGGCAGCCTGCCGTACCCGAGCCCACAGATAACCGCTGTTATTGTGATCAGGATCATGCTGAAGGCTCCATGGAGCTCAGGGCACCAGCGCAGAGCCCTGGGGTCAGCCGAGCCCCACCGAGGGTCAGAGCTCCCCTCAGCGCGGCCGCCATTTCCCCCTCACTGCCGCCATTTGCTGCCCCCCGCCCCTCGCAACCGCCCTTTTACCAACGCCGGGCCACGCCCCCTCGTCAAGCTACGCCCCCATCAAGCCACGCCCCCCTCGTCCCTCCAGCACGTAGCCGCGTTGCCTAGCAGCGCTGTAGCCATGGCAACGCGCGTATACAAGCAGCATCGGGAGCGGGATGGGTAAGAGCCGGTGGGGATGGGGACGGGGGGACCGGCACCCCGAGAAGAGCCTGGGGATACGGACCTCAAAAGAAGCTGGGTGTGAGGGGCCATAGAGGGCCATGAAGGCTGCCACAGATCCCAGTGAGAGATGATGGGGTGGGCAGTGTGCTGGGTGGAGTGTTGCATGATGCTAACGGGGTGACAGGTCCCATCCCTAAAATGAGCTTCCCTTTTCTCTTTTCTTACATAAATATATCATCTATACAATGGTGGGCAACAGGCTTTGCAGTTAGGCAGCGTTTTAGCCCAATGCTGGCACAGGTAGAGGAACCCATGATGCCTTTACCCAGGACACTGAAATGTGGGGCATCAGGATTCAAAAGGTAATGTCCCAGTGATTCTGAATAACGCTTCTCCATCTGTGAATTCCCCTCAGAATTCCTGGGGAAAAAGATAGCTTTTACATATATATAAAAAATAGATATAGATATAGAATCATAGCATGGTTAGGGTTGGAAAGGATCTGAAGATCATCAAGTTCCAACCCTGCTGCCATGGGCAGGGACACCTTGCACTAAACCATATATAGATACAGATATAGCTATAGATATGGACATAGATATATAGGTATAGATACAGATACAAATACAGATCTATATAGATTAGATATAGATATACATATAGCCTGTTTCTTCAGTGTCCGTGGGAAACTGAGCTCAAAAGTCAGCTGTTGGGATTGTTCCTAGGCAGAGTTCCATTGTTTGAGTCAAGAGACAGGCCCATGGAGTTACTTGTGGTCAGCTGCAGCAATGTGTTAGTTACAGAAGTTTTCTAGAGATCTTTGCTGAGGTTTGGTGTGGGTTTTGAGTCTTATCATGTTTTATTTAGGAGATGTGCTTCTATAAAGGATTCGTGAGAGAGAAGGGGCTTTTTGCTGTCAAAAACAACATCACAGACACTGTATGTCTGCAGCACTCATCTCTTATTCCCTTTGTAATTACACAATGTTAAAAGATCCTTCAGCAGAAAATGTGGGAAGACACAATCTCTTCTCCCAAAACTTACTGTTCCGAGTTACAGAAGCAACACGGTGACAGGCAGCAAATGACAGGCTGGGGAGAAGGCTAAAAGAGATCTCTAATTCTATCACATTAATGAGCTCTTTCCTTATCAGCCTCAGCCCTTGTCCAGATCTGCTAAGTGGCTTTTCCTAGAGATCAGATGTCTGTGAATTAGCTCCTTTGGTTACACTGATTTTGGACAGTTCAATCTGAAGAGCTGAGCTGTTTTCAAAGCCTGGCTGCTAAACAGCAGCTGAGCCCTTCTCAGAATCAACCCTTGTGCTGGACCAGATTGTGAGCCCACCCAGGCAATACTCAGGGCCTGAAGGGAGAGCCTCCAAGAAGTCTTCACTCTCAGACTTCCCTATGTGGAAAGCCAGCTGTGGGAGCCGGAGCACTGGGATGCTCGTGCTAGAAGCCACTGTTCAGACTGAGCTTGTGTGGCCGCATCCAGCCCGAAGCAGCAGTGATCCAGACTGGCTTGGGAAGTACTTTGTGCTAGCCTAGGAAATGCGTTTAGGGAGAAATCCATCTTGTCTTCATTTGGAGAAGTGTTTTCTGTGCAGTGTGCACTGAAGCAATCCTTGCTCTCCTCTTTTCCACCTTGGGAATGGATCTGGCATCTTGTGGGGAAAACCTGAGCCCCAATTCTTCCTGCTCCAAGGCTCTTTGATAACTTCTGGAGTGGTTAAATTAAGTACTGTGGTGTCAGTCTCCTGAGCTTCTGTCCACAAGTAGCAAGCAGCAGGGAGGTGAAAACCTGCATTTTCTTACAGGCTCCCCAATGTAATGTTTTAACAACTCATTTATAAGCAAAACTGATGACAAATTATTTTACTCTGAGTTTTAAGGGCACTGACAGAAATATAGGAGTTTTCAGCTTCAGGTAGCTACAGACTTGATTTTTACTGCTTAATAACCATATAAGTTTGCTGAGAAGAATCCAAGCTACATTTGCTATACAGTAAAAGCAGCACAGACACCAAGTCCCTGTAAAATACACAGGCACCTTCACTTAAAACCCACCAACTGCCTATAAACCCCCACAGAAATGTGTGCACGCAATCTGTAGGTACATCCATACACATTACTGGGGTGCACAGCTATTTTGAAGTGCATCTGGTAGCAGATGACTAGAACTGACACTGTTTTCATCAGCAGCTATCCCAGCAATGACTTGGGGCTCTGCACATGCAGCCTTAGAAGCCGCCTCGTGCGACTCCTGTTGAGGCAAAGAAGCATCGTGCTGGTGCCTTTGAACCTGTGCACCACCACGTTGAGAGTGAAAGGGGAATAAGCACACCAAGGGCCTCAATAAACACGGATTCTCTTGTTCATTGTCACCGCTTAGAAATAGCAAAAGCAGCCTTGAGTTGTGCGCAAGTCAAGTCCTTCGCCCCAGGTTCTATAATAAGGCCCTCTCATGCTTTGCCTGCTTCCCACATGATGTGTCCTGAGTCAAACAGGGCTCGGGGTAGGAGGAGCCTTCATCAGACAGCTGGGGAAGACTTCAGGAGTTTCAGTTCCTGAACAGGTTTTGTAACAACGGGGCCCTGGAGCAATGGAATAGGAGATGCTTTGGCCAAGCTTAGTCATGAGCTGCAGAGGCTTCAGATGGAGCTGCTCCTCCTGGAGCGAGCTGCTCCTCGGGCAGCAGGGGCAGAGAAAGCAGAAGCTGCTCGTGGCAGTAGGAAAACACACGCTTCGAGATGTCTTGCATCCCACTCACAGCGTCCAATGTCATCCTTAAGCCACTTCCTCCCCCTCGTCAGCAGCATCCTGTGTGATTTCCTGCCTTGTTTTGTAAGAGCTGTACAAATGAAAGGATTCCTCCTTTGCAGAAAGCCAGGTGCTGTCTTTAGCTGCTTCTCTTTTAAATCTATTTACAAACCCCCTTTTTAAAGCATTTTTCTGAAAGGTTTTCTTTTTTCTCCCTCCCTCCCCTTTCTTATTTTCCCTGGAATTCAAAGTATTTCTACAGTCAAAATCCTTTTCCTGGCTCATTCTTTTGGTTTGGGTGCTTTGGGGTTTTTAAATACATTTACTGTTAACACAGAAACCCCCAAATTCACTGTTTCTGTTAGGAAATACATCTGCAATACAGCAAAGTTTTTATTCTTCACTGAAAGCACTGCTCTCAATTGGGCTTTATTCCAAGAAGAAGTTGATTTCCTTCCCATCTTCATCCAAAATCCACTGCGAAGAGCAAACGTATTCAGAGTAATCAGCATGCACCATGCACTACTCCTACTATAGGGATAGCACTCCCTCCCACAGGCACGTAAAGCTGCTTACTCAGTGCTCAAGGCCAAACTCTGATACTACTTTGATGAGTCCTAAATGGAGATAAGTTGGCATCTTCTGGCAGCTCTGGAATCTGAGCTTTGGCAGGAATTTCACCTCTTTTACACTCAATTAGATTCTTTCAGTCTCATTCAAGCTGCCACCCACATTCCATTGTGGTCTAGAAATGCTCCAAACTCCCGAAACTTTCTTCTTTTGTATTCCTATGGAAATGAAAGCAAGTTACCTTCCTGTGTTCACCAGGGTACCCATCACTCCAAGGGGAACCCAGCTGAGGCAGACTGCTGCCATCCCACCAGATCCCTCTGCTCTGAACGTGTTCTTTGTGCCTTGTTGGTTGCCTGCTTAAAGTCAAACCCGTTTACTCAATGTCTGTGTTTTAACTGAGGGCTGAAACCAGGAGTTAGACGTTAAGTCTTACTCTACACCACTGGTATGACTCCAAGAAACCTGTTTTAGTAGCAAAAAGCTAAATTCACCAATAGCCTCTGGTTTATACTGTTTGCAGAGGTTACTCACCTACCCCTGCCTGTTGTGACAGCATCCAAACCATGAGACTCCTGTGCTATGAGCAGGCCTTCACTCAAGAGCTGAGGTTTCTCAATGTCAGGATTGTGGCCAATGCTCCCCAGTGCTACAGACACACATCAGCAGCAGTGAGTGAGGAGCATAAGAGCTCCTTTTAATAGAGGTGCTGAGGTTTGCAGTCTTCAGTCAGTTAATTACCCTTTGTGGCCTCAGTAAAATGAGAATTGTGCTGCTTGGGATAATCCCAGGCTTCTTCTAAGGATGGGTTGGTTAATGTATGTGGAAGGTTAGGATCTACACGATGCTTCCCAGAAGTATTGGGATTCCTTCAGTATTTGATGCCCAATGGTTTGTACTTCCTCCATCCCTTTCAGCAGAGGCCATCAGCACACACAAGGCAGCATCGAGCATCTTTGTGCTTTTTACACTTGGCAAGGTCGTGGCAGCCTTTTGTGGTTTTGACTCATGCCCTCGGCTCACGCTGCAGCCCGGGACAGCCACGGGTGACTTGGCTCTTGGACTGAGATTGAACCAGGGTTCCAGGAACACTTCCTGGCCTGGATTCCCCACTGGTGTGAGCTGTGGAGCTGCACTGGTTGTGCCTGTGCCTTCCATCTGGCTCCATCCTGGTTTAGGTCACAGCCTGCTTTAAGGAATTAAGGCCATGAATCCCCCTCCATGTACCTGACAAGCTGACATAGTCCAAGCTACTAAAGCACAACCCATGGCAGGTTTTCCCTGTGATCCCTGAACATTCACAGTCTTCTGGGCTTCCCTTGAAGGTGAAATTCCTCCCTGTTGTGGTTCTGTTGCAGGTTTTCCGCTCCCATCCCAAAACGGCTTTTCTCAGGATCTGAAAGCATCGTTCTTTAATCAGCTCCATGGGACTCTGAATCTCCTGAAGCAGCAGCGCCTGCGCACGCTGTGTCTGCAGTGCCCCATCTGTCCTCCGTGAAGCTGCTCAGAGGACTTTTGGGCTCATGAAACTCAACTAAGAATAGCAATTACTGGAAAACAAAGGGGACAACCTGACCCCCCCACCAGTTTGTACAGCAGCACTGATGTGGGATTGTCTGCATAGCCCTGAACCACACCTGAGAACTGCTTCCACGGGCTCCCATGTAGAGATGCTCGCACTGCTCTGCCAGATGGTTACTCCTTGTAGGAGGAGAGGGCTCCTTGGATCATCCAGGCCCTATCCCAGATACAGACCTGGCTCTTTGGGGTATTGAAGCTCAACTGCCTGCAAAAGCCCTCAAGAGAACCAAACCCAACTCTTTACCCTGAGAGCAGAGGAACAAAACAGTGAAGCTCTAAATCACCCTGATGAAACAAGAGCGATGCTCTATGTGGTGGTAGCAAACCCAGTGTAGCTCAGGGTCCTGTGTTATTTGACGGTGAACAGATGGTCTGTGATTCAGGTGGAGGGAACAGGCATAGGATGAGAAATGACAAAGGTTTGAGTTTGGTAGGATTAAAGGATGGTCAGCATCAAAGCCACAGGCAAGGTTCCTACCTTCTGACCCTGAAAGCAATGCTTTGATTCACTGGTCATATAAAAGTATGGCACCATAAATGAAAGCTTAATGTCAATTGATCTCTTCTACCCACTCCCTTGCCCAGATGGTCTTTATATTGTTCCATGTGAAGTAGAGCAGGCAACTCTAGAAACATCCATCCTCATGAACAAATATAATTCTCCTTTTCCCTTCCACAGCTGAAATAAAGATGCCTTCAAGACAGAGAGATTCACACACTGAGAACTGCTCCCAAACCAAAAGCATCCCCCCCTCCATTTAACACAGCCCAAGAGAGGTCAAGGTACGGGGTACTCACTGAGCCCGCTGCTGACATAATGAAAACCATGCTGGGTTCCTGCATCCTCCTGATGGATGTCAGTCACTTCAGAGGGGCCAAGCCATAGACAAAGCACAAGAGAAAGAAGCCAGGGGCTGCTGGGAGCTGCAGAAGCCTGCAATCACCTCAACCTGAGGCTCTTCTATCAGGGGTAAGTTAACAACCAGATGAGCTGCAGCAGTGGGAGGCAGAGCTAATGAAGGCACTGCATCACTCAGGCTTGTTCAGCCTCACCTGGAACATCCCTTTTCAGATGCTCTCCATATGATGTGAACAAGGAAGAGCTGAAATAAAAAGTCTGTTTCTTCTTTCTCTGCCTGTTTGAGTTTCTTTGCTGCTTTTTGGGGGGGCACCCCCTAATCTGTGCTGTGAAATGGCATTAAACCCTGGGCATTTAATGGCATTAAACCTCCACAGGGGTCAGAGCATGGGGCAGAATTCTCTTGCCTTCCATGGAATGTGAATTGGGAAGTTTGTGCCGCAGTTCTGTGGTCCTTTATACCAGGTTTGAGCACAGCTGGATCGTTTAGCAGGACAAATTGAATCCAGACCATGCCTGGGCACACAATTAGGTTTCTGTTGAATTAGCCAGAGCACATAATACCCCGTTTATGCTGGCTTCGTGCCGGCAGCAGGAAGAAAGACAATATCTAACCTGGCACCGAGCCTACCAATACAGACTTCATGTCAGAACTTTGGGAGCAGTTTTGAATGGGATCAGTGCTTTGGGCTGTGTGGTCCAGCGGTTCACATCCAGGAAGCCAGAGTTTCTGTGGCATCAATCTGTGACTGTCTTGCAGTGTTTAAAGGGTCTGTTTCTGCCTATGTTTTGTGTTTATTATGCCTCCTCACATGAGTCCCTCATCCCGTTTGAGGCTCCTGTTGAAGTCTCTCGATCCATCTTTCTGATGGTCATGAGTGGCGTCTGATTTCTGAAGGGACCTGTGCTGCTGCATGCGGCCATCATACAGACATGGGTTGGCAAAGACCATGCTTGCAGCATGGAGAGGGGCTTGGGACAAGGGATGTAGGGACAGGCCAAGGGGAATGGCTTGAACCTGCCCGAGGGGAGACTGAGCTGAGCTCTTAGGCAGAAGCTCTTCCCTGTGAGGGTGCTGAGGCGCTGGCACAGGGTGCCCAGAGAAGCTGTGGCTGCCCCATCCCTGGCAGTGTTCAAGGTCAGGTTGGACACAGGGGCTTGGAGCAAGCTGCTCCAGTGGAAGGGGTCCCTGCCCGTGGCCAGGGCTTGGAGCTAGAGGAGCTTTAAGGTCCCTTCAACACAAACCAGGCTGGGACTCTGGGGTTTAAGTGTTCAAGGTCCTGTTTTCTAAGGAAACTGGTGAGTGCCAGGCTGTCACTCACTGAGGAGCTTCAGACCCTGCTCCCTGAGCGGTTTTAGAATCATAGAATCATAGAATCGTAGAATGGTTTGGGTTGGAAAGGACCTGAAGCTCATCCAGTTCCAACGCCCCTGCCATGGGCAGGGACACCTCACACTAAACCATCTCACCCAAGGCTCTGTGCAACCTGGCCTTGAACACTGCCAGGGATGGAGCATTCACAACCTCCCTGGGCACCCATTCCAGTGCCTCACCACCCTCACAGGAAAGAATTCCCTCCTTATATGCAATCTAAACTTCCCCTGTCTCAGTTTTAACCCATTACCCCTTGTCCTGTCACTGCAGTCCCTAATGAAGAGTTTTACCTGCTGACACTTCCCATCCAGTCTGTTTTCCCAGCACAACCCTTCTAATTCACAGCCAACAGGCTGAGCTTTCTCTGTGTAGCCTTTGGGACAAAGCTCACTCTGGAAAAGTCGCTTAGTTTAGAACCCACAGCCCCAAGGAAGATATTTTCCCTAATCCTGAACTAAATGATATCATACTTGGCTAGCCCCGTAACCATGGCACTCGAGTTATTTATGCCTCTGAAACTGATGCTATAGTTAGCAACACTGGGACAGGGTTTCTTCTATGCTACTGTCCAAGTGCCTCCCTCCCCCTGCCTCAGGCTACGCTGGGAAGCAAGACAGAGCGTCTCCAGAGGGTCTTTAATTTGCCATGTCCAATGTCAGCCTTCGCTGACCTCCTCGGCTTGGCAGCACACGAGGGGATGCGCACAGAGACGCGACTTGGAAGCCAAAACAAAGCGCTTGGCTCCGCTCTGATCCGTCTCTGTGGGGAGATCTGGTTGGGTTTGTTTATTTTGGTCCTTAAAGTGAATGTGAAGGGACCTGGAACTGCAGAGGGCTGGCGGGAGGAGGGAGCTGCTCGTCAGCTCTGCCATCGGGGGATCACGGCGAGGGCAAGGAGGAGAGGGCAGCTTTTGTGCCTGGGGCACTCAGCAAAGTTGCCTCATAGCAATGGATAGCCTGGGG